GTAGGTTTGATGCATAACATTATATCGTTACTAAATCCGATTTTAGATCAACAAACGATAAGAGGGAAGAAGCTCGATTGAAAGCTGTCCGAGAACGTGCATGGCGGCATATCGATATGATTAGCACGGGGGCAGCTGCTGATTCTGAGTCATCGCAACAGAAATTGTCAGTTGCTGTGATACTTTTTGTCATAGTTTTACTGCATCAGACTTTATTTGGCTTAAACTCTCATTATTCTTTGCTTCGAATAACTCAACAAACTGATGTTTGAATCACTAAGGAAAGGTAAATGTATATCTTGCTCGGAAATACGGCTAATATTCTTCGTGAAGATATCTTACTCTTTGGAGGCTCAGAAACAAAAATTACGGGAAATAAAGTGCCACTGGGAATAATGGTATTATTTTTATGGGTTCTGTTTGAACTGCAGGCGAGATCGTGATATAAGATCAACATTGTTCACTGAATCGTATACAAATGTGGTAAGAAAGAATGCAAAACGACTGCGTGGTAAACCTACACTCGATCCACTGATTGCATCGAGTGTCGAATTGAAATACATGGATTTGACAAGAACTTTGAAGCAACGTGACGATACTTTATACGTTATTGCAATGAAGGTATTAAGTTTTTCATGAAATTCCCGCTGCCACTTCAATCAGTATTCAATGCGTCAGCGATAGTTGTGTATCGCTGATGATGTGAATATAAGAAAAATCAAGAGATTAGTGCTGTTTTGATGTACTCATCCACTTCCAGGATTACTTACTGCTTCCCGCAACAGATCGTAATATCACAATGCATCCAAAAGTGGCGTTCATTTTACCAGCACTTTCGTACAACGGAACATTGGATAATCACGTACGTTGTGTTTTTGGGTCAAATTGATTAGTTCACATATGTGAAGTGAATGTATTCAACACTATCATTCAGATTTTCCTCTCGATGGTTTTAGATAACTGTAATGAAATTGAATGATAATTGGCCGTAAGCATCATAACATTCAGCGGTAGTTTCTATGACTAACTGTCAGATGTTTTATTATCGGACTCGTTACCAAAGCATTGGAATTTACAGGTTCCGATGATGCGTATTGAATGCGAAATAACGGGTACAGGATTGTTCCACATAGCAGACTCTCTTGTATCATTGTTCTACACTCAGTCGTTTTAATCAGTGATAAAGCAGTTCTCCTCTTTACTTCTTGTACGTGATCTTTGTTTTTGTACTCTGTGATCTTCATATGATACTTAGCGATCAAAATTTTTTCACGAGTGCCATTGTATCTAGTTGGAAGTTCTCTCTGCTTTTGCTTTCGATCCATTCCGATTCTTTATCGAGCTGACTCGTTGGGCATTCGCAACGGTTTATCTCGAAAACAACTTTGAACTGCAGCGATATCATCAAATGGTTTTTCGCGGATTTTTTCGAACTTGGGATGTAACATAATCTCACTAGAAATAGCGCATACATTGTTTGGATATCGCGAATTATTTTCACATTCATTCGTCAGAAGGCATTGAACTGTTCCATAAGTATATCACTATTTCATAACTTAAAGTTTTCTTTTTATTAACGCGCATTATTGTTGTCACGTTATTTTAAAATAGTCGTTTCAATTAATCGAATACCAATCTGATATATATTCCGTTTTATTACCTCGTTTTTGTTTCGTTCTTTTCTTTTACTTTTTTGCTTTGTTTTCGATTAGATTTTGACTATATTAGACATTGAGCTGAAGTGAGTATCATAAGTTTATCGCTTTCGCTGCGGTTGATGCGCTTTTCGATTCTGATATTGAATGTAGATGTCTTTTAAAGAAACGTTCATCATACAATGATGGAATATGATTTTTATCTCATATGTTAAATATTCTGAGCAAAAATTCTGACATCGGCATTCTTAGATTCGTTATGCGTCTCCTAAGGAATTATTACCAATATTCCTACTTAGATGTCGATGTTATATGGGAAATTTTGTATTTTTGCTTTATATTTTTATTGAATATTCTGTTTCGGAATTGAGTGCGTTTAGTTGCAATATTTGTGAAATCGTTTTATTTGCATTTTTTGTTGTATTGTTGTTGTTGATGTAATGTTTATTCACTTTACGCCGATCTGCCGTCAAGAATGAATGATAGTTACTTCATCTTGTTTTCTAATCTGTTGTGATGAATATCGATGCGATATTCAAAGGATCTAATCATTGTAACGAACTTTTCGAATTTGTTGTTCTGCTGTATTGATATCAATAAACTGACGCATTTGTTCTTCATGGATACACTGATACCATTCTTCTGCTCTATTTTTTGAACTCTGATATTTTCATTGAATGATTCAGTTCGGTAATTTCAACTTCCATCTGATCGTAATCTGCCAATTCCAGTCGGTTTTGTTGTGAAACAGCCAAACTGTATGATTGTCTTAAATTTCTGACTGTTGCTGCTTTTGTTATTTCAGTCGATTTCAGTGAAATTTTCATAAGTTCAGGTACTATACGTTCTGTCATACAAATTTTGTATATATTCTTTCCGTTCAGGAGGATGCGGATGAACATTTCTTCCAAATGTCCTCGTCTAATGCAAAGACTGACATACACCGAATGTGGTGTCTCCTCTTTCGGTGTTCACAGTTGTTGTGTGTTCATTTCGCGATTTGCTTTTTAACCTTCTTTTGATTTTGAAAACAATTTGTTTGTTTCAAGTGCGAAAGAAGTACTGCAGAATAAATGACACTTATGATGAAGGTTTCGCATTATCAACTACAAGCATTAACCAGCAATCTTTGTCAAAACTGACTCAGTCCAGTTGTTATGTTCTGCGTAATATTCCTATGTCATGATTGGCGAATTTATCTGATAGTTTTTGATTGACGTCAATTAAGCTGAAACGATCAGTTCATTTTAAATATTCCACGGAACTCATTCGTTCTCTTAGCGACTGTAAAGGAATTATGATTACAAGCGAAGGGGTGGAATGCAGGAAAAACCGTAAAATTAATACAGTTGTAAGTGCGTCAACATGGAGGTTGTAACATGTTTCGGTGTGATCCGCAAACAGGACTGACACAGCCAGCAGTCACCCGAAGCAATACTCCCCTCACGACAAAGGCGTAGAACCATCTACTTATCGCGCATTTGCACTCCAGCAAGTGATTCTTTCATTTCGTTTAATTTCGGTCGCATTCGTTCTTAACTTATGCAAAATTTTCAGTTCGTTGTCAGAGGACAACCGATATGCTTTTGAATTTTACTAGCTTCCGCTAATAGCTAGTGCGTCGTGATTGCTACACAAATTTCCCTATAGTGATTCAAAATGATTACGATATAGCCACAAGTCCAATCGCGAGGGTGTGTGAGTATATCTGGTGAATTCGATGCTATGGACACGACACAATGAAGCCATAAAACACCACTTCAGTGCATTGCAAACGAACAATCTCATAGCGAATGAATATTCAAAGTTTACTCGATAAAGATTCGTGTTGAGCACTGCGCTTTCTAGACTTAATAACATCATGAGTCACGAAAACCGTAAATGAAAGGATTCAAGAAAGTATTGAAAATAACAAATACTCGTACAATATCGAAATGAATGGATAATGATACCGAAAGATGTTCACTGAAGAACATTGCTAACGAAATGAGGTTATATGGTAACCAACATAATAAGTAAGCTAGGATGACAATTGCACTCGTATGACACATTCGTGCTCGCATTTCAATACGCCAAGATTGCACTCCTTTTGCTGAAAGTTTCTTTCGTTTGTTGCCTCATTTTCATTGTTGGTAGTCAACTTCATTGCACTATATCACCGCTTTGCACACGTTCAAACTACCATAATTTTTTTGCAAACAGTCACTTGAAGAGATAAAGGAATGTATTTTAGACTCTTTTTTTTTCGCCTACGAATGAATGAAAATTTTTAAATTCCTTTCGATGCCATTCCGCTCACCGCTCATCTGCTTGAAGCGAGATAATTTTGCGCTTTGAATCTGTTGAGGAAATCGTTGCATCAGGAAGTCAATTTTAGACCAATTTCACAACTTGTTCCAGCCAAGAAAAAAGCAGTAATCGTGCAATGATAATGGATGGATTTTTAAAAGAAAGTTAACCAGTCATTGGGATTCATCTCTATTCATGAGCAATTTGTTCTTTTAGCACGACTGATTTTATTATTGTAGATAAATCTATTCTTTAACTCTGATCGTAATCACTTGTTCCAACTACACATCCAACTATTTCGCGTTTTGAATGAACGTTGCGCAACTTGACTTCGTGACAAATAATATCGCAGCATAGATCAAGTTGTCATTCTCATTATTGAATCTCATTCCTCTGATTTTATTCCTAGTCGTTATCATTTCAAACAGAAATTATCAATTGATACTGAATTGTCATGAATAGGGTGTTCCTTCGTGAACATAAGGCGTGAGTCATCAGCGATACCTCACAGTGTGGTGAATTCATCGATCTTTGAGAATTGTTGTTTCAAAGTTCAATCGAAACTAAATAAGCTTTGAAGTTAAAAAAATCACCGGGTGGATTTGCACGAGATAGTATTTGTTCGGATGCAGTACCATCTTGTCCGGTCGAACTCATTCTGTAAGGTTTCAACGAATTACTCTCTGTCAAGGTCGAAATTACATAAAACCATAATAATCCACAATTCTCACATTTCTATGGCATATTTCCCACTGCGTACGGCCTATTTATCTATTTCTTTAATCAACAATTCCAACTCGTTACGAGTTTATGCCTTTGATATCAGCAACATCACAAATATCACATTTTCTACAATTTTGGGACGGCATATTTTTACAAAATACTAGGAATATTTTGATGATTCAGTCGAATGAATGGGTCAATCTTCTTTAATCATATTCTTCTTTAAGTACATAAACCCTGACTTAAATGAGGTATTTTTTTCTCGCGTCAACTCCACGACTGAATACGTAGTCAACTGAGTTGTAATATATCACTGACAATTTCCAGATTACTATCGTAAACAATTATCGTCTGCGGGTGTTCCATTGCTTAAACGGACGCTTTCAGTTTCATTATATAAATTACTCAAAATTCAATTCTCCAGCAAAAATTGCAAATCAAAGAAAAATCAAAATTTATTGCAGTGAAATCGAGTGAACAATGATTGTATAGGCTCGTTAAGCGTTTGCTACTTATTATCAATTCAAATGCGCGCGGTTGAAGAGAGATGTTATTAGAAATGGATTTCACCAACTTGTCATCCGCATCAATTCGATGAAGTTCAGCAGCAGTAGCAGATTCATTTGTTGACTTCATTGAGTAAAGGAACAATGAGAGTGTAATGCAGGCATATGACAAGAACAAAATCACGAACGGTCCCCAAAACATCGTTGTCAAATGCACAATTGTATAGATTTGTTCCCAGTAGAAGAAATACTGCAATGAAACGTTTGTGAATAAAACGAGTGCGCAACGTTGAAAAAAGTGAAAATGATTTCAGTCTTTATTTTTCACTCCTCCACGTAAAACAATATATCACTGAAGCGCACCATATAGTGCCCACAAAAATTGTTCAACACGAGTCAAACCTCATCGTCGTGCACTGATTATGGATTTGCATTGAATTCAATCGAATTCGTCTATGATGCGACTATTTGAAATTCATAGAAAATTGATTGGAGCGCATGAGAACGAGACTATTGTTTGCAGCAATATCGAATAATGTCGGAATATGTAATAATTTCAAATACCCTATACTCGTGCCCACTCAAGAAATCTTTGGCTCGTTGTTGATGCCATATGGTGGTGCACTGTGACCAACTGCCTAAGTCAGCCGTTGTCCAAGCAAGCCATTGCGGAAGTGAAAGGGCTGCAGCACCCAAATACGTCAGCACAATCATTCTCTAAAAATGCGATGCGATCATTGCTGAATATTATGCTGCCTTCAGATAGTGTAGTGCGGGCAAAATCGGAAACGAAATTTTGCAGCCAGGGATCCCGAAAGTGCGGTCGGCTTGAAAGAATTTGGAGACCGGGTCACCGAAACTCTCCGATCCTCACACCACACTACTTTCAGAATGTATTTATTCACTCGAGACTCATAATGTAATGAATTGTTATTGCTTTTCTTTTCGTGTGACGTTTGTTGATCTTTGTGACGTTGGAATTTATGATCATAAACATGAAAAATGAATGCTACACATATACCAATATCAGATATTGGCTGATGGAAACTGTTAGTATAATTCAGCCAAAGAATTAAAAAAAAAGACGATTCAACAGGTCAAATGTTCATCAAAAATTAAGCCAATAGACGTGTCGTTAAGGAAATGAACCGTTCAGTGAATCTCCTCTGCTACTGCAGTTTTATGTATCAAAACGATGCAAATGCTTAATCTGCTAATATTGCACTAATCGACAAAATCTGAGCAATACCTTAATGCAGTTAATTTTGGAGTTAGGTGCCATTACTCGGCCTCGTTCGCGCATAGCCATCAGATCGTGAACAGTTTTAGCACGATCAATAGCAATACTCACAATTGCAAATGACATCGAATGGTGGGCAAACATCCTGAAGTCATGTTTTTTTTGAATGGTGTTCAATTGTGTGACTACTATCACTTTTGATTGATGACGTTTGATTTTGATGTTTGATCCGTGTTGTTATGCGGCACTGAGGAATGCGTAAGCGGAATGCGAGCATGCACAATGATTGACTCACTGTAAATGCACTTTTTTCATAAGCAACAAATGAGTAAGTTCAAGAGCAACGGAACAGCAGCTCAGAAGTTTGTGTGTTATCGTCGTGAACACTGAGCAAATAGTGTCTTTTTGCAAAAAGTCCCTCATCACTGCTTGTGTGCATTTGTGATCGCATCATTGCGTCATCATCTTCTATGATGAGCAGCATCATCACCAACAACGAATGCAGTTAAGTGTAAGCAATATGGGCAAGAGAAGCAATTAGCTTCAAAGCAATCCATTCATTCTGATCATTCGAATTATTCAAAATCACTCTTTCACTGATATTGCTGCAAACAAAAACACGCCCTCACTGAGAGGCTAATCTTACATCATTCAAATGTCATCCTCCTAAACTTGTCCATATCGCAAAACTTTACGCTTGGAATGTTCCAGTTAGTAAACAGTGAACGAATGAGCAATTTGCATTTTAAAGGCTCACTCATTGATTATTGTTAACGCACTCAAAAGATTCCGTCGAAAAACGGAACCGCTGAAGTTTGATTCATCAAAATTGAGTTATGAATTTCTGAATATTTTTTATTCGATAGTACACTTGCATGCTGAAGATAAACGATCAAAGTGTAACTTTTCAAGCTCGCAAAATAAATTCGATGAACACATTTGAGACTAATCAATGAATTCATAGCAACGGCAAGTGAACCAACCCACCATGAGTATTGAACCGCTTTGCACAAAAATGCTCCAAATGGCCACACATAGCAAACAAGCCAAACAAGTTTACTGGGACAATAAAGAATTATGAAAATAAGATCAACAATTGTCAAGTGAATCTTCAACATCAAAAAGCCAATTCGCGTATCGTCCTGCTGAAAGTATCTTCACTACAATGTTCAATCGCAAGTCATAGTTTGACTGTTGTATTTGAAATACATCTTTTGAATGCAATAATTGTAATGTTTAACTGTACTAATTCCTAAAAAAAAACAACTGAACGATTACCTTGACTCGATTGAGTGTT